ATTGAAGAGAAAAATTCATTACTGATTTGTGATACTATATCATTAATATATAGCTGTACATCAATGATAAATAAATTGATAAGTTTTTGTTGATATGGTTTATATATCAGTGATAGACAAAAGTATATCACTGATATACTATTGTAGATCAATATAACCAATTCGACATAAACTTATTTATAATTGATATAAAATCGTGTATCAATAATGTAGTATTGCAAATCAATAACACAATAAACACATAATCATTTACCCAAAGTAAATCAAACATACTCTACAAAAAAATTTGTACTCTTAGCTTATTATAGAGAATCAAATACCTAAAGTAATAAAATAAAAAAAATCATGAATTTGTAGCTCTGTTTTCCAGTCGGCTTGCTTCGTTTTGTTAAGTATCATTGACGTATCTCACCTCGCATTTGTCTCTCATCGTCATGATTGTGACTTACTCACACTGCTATTATCTTATGTTTGTCTCTCTCACGTCAAGTTTCATCTTCTCTCTCATACTTGTCTCTCTTGTTCTAAATATTTCTTACATTTTAAATCTCCTAATATTTTAAAAAAGCAAATATTAAAAAGGGAAATTTTATAAATTAATTATAATGTAAATATTAAAAAGGTATTTTTTGAAATTTAAGAAGGGATAAGCTATTTCTTTTACTTGACCTTATAATATGGGCTATCTGTGTAAAGGTCCCTTATTATAATTAGGATTGATGAGCAAAATTGATCTTGAAGTATCGCGTGAAAAATGTCTTGGACATTAAACTTTTAAAATGTGCAAAATAGATCCTAAAATTTTAAATTCATAAAAAATTAAACCCTACCATTAACTGATAATTAGTGCCGTTACTGTTCACTTATTGGATTCTAAATCAAGGTCAAGTCCCTTGCTGATATGTCATTTTTTTAATTACTACCGTAGATCTTAAACTATTCTACAAGTAACATCTTGGACCTTAAATTTTAAAATTTAGAGCAAATTATCCCACCATTTTTATGTATAAAATGGTGATTATTATGTAAACCAAATTAGTTTCAGTGTGGTCCATCGAGGTGAATGCATTGTTGGCCATGAGAAACTATCCATAATTTTGTGAAATAATTTTTGTCCTTTTTTTGCAATATTTTTCAAACAATTGGTATCTCATGCTTTCATATATTTTATAACTTTGATTTAATCTTATTTTAAATAATGTTTATTTATTTAATGGTAAAAACTTAGGATCTCATCTAAAAAGAAGTTTAAAATTTTAATTAATTGATTAATTTTTGTTTGAAATTCATTAATAAAATTACTGGCTTTCGCAATCATTTTCTGTAAAATCCTTGTAACATCCCAATTTAAATTTTAATAGTTAATTTGGGTTAATAGAAATTTAAAAAAAATAATAATAATAATATTTAGAGGTAAGAAAATTAGTAGAAAATGATTATTAAATATAATTTAGGATATAATTCTAAAAAAAATTATTAAAAAAATTATTAAAAAAATTAATTAAAAAAATAATAAAAAATATTATTAAATTATTATTATAATAAAAAAAAGGGAAAAGGTATGCATAAAAAAAAAAGAGAGAGAAGAAGAAGGAAGAAAACGTGAATGCTTTCGGCCGCCTCAATAGTAAAATAAAATATTAAAAAAAAAGAAAGAAGAAGAAGAGAGAGAAAAGAATAAAAAATGTGTGGGACCCACTGAATTTTTATAAAAACTCACCTGTTCTTTCATTTCTTCATTCCTTCTTTCGTGCGTGAGCTGAGGCAGAGAGAGCATCTGTGAGCCAAGTTCACCGGTGTTGGGTTTTAAGGTAAGAATTTTTAATAGGATATTTAGGGTGTAATTTTAAGCTTTTCAAGACTAAGTAAGTGTTCTAAAATTTTTTCTTAGTTATCCTTCTTCTTCAGTTTCTGAGTTTGTAGTGGTAGAAAATTTAAGATCTGGAAGAGGGATGAATTTATATTGAATAAATATGGTTTTTGAGGTTGTCAATAGTATAATAAATGTTCTAGAGTATAAATTTATTGATGATCTTTGAATCTGTGGCTTATGGATCAAATTCTAGACTAGATCTGAAAATATATGTTGATTTATTGAGGTTTAGATGATTATTTGGGATGAGAAATGAATTATTATGGCTATAGGATTATGATTCTAAGTTAGAGACTTAATTTTTAATTTTTGGGTATTTTAGGTACGAATTTATGAAATAAAAAGAAAATTTTGATAATAAAAATTAGTTTAGAAGTTGATTTTTAGATTATTAATGTTTATTGATAATTAAAAGAGGAGTTAAAAATTTTACTTAATAGTATTGACTCTAGATTTGTATTAAGATTGAGATTAGAAATTATGTTATATTTTTAATTCTATTATTAGAATTATTTTATTAGTTTCAAAAATTGAAACTAATATTTATAAATAATATGTTATTTGTAGATTGTATTACTGGTGAAGATTGTGGTGAGAGAGAAATTTTAAGGAATAATTTATTAAAAAAAGCCACGAGGTAACCATGCTTTTAATTTATGATTAGTGTTACTTCATGTTAATTGGGTGATTATTGATAAAATTATAAATTTTGTAATATTATATAATTGTGCAATATTATTATAAATTTATTTGATTATTGTGGGAGGTGTTGGGAGACTTGTTATTATTGTTGTATTTATGTGCCACGTGGTATGCCCCTATTGGAGCTCAATAGGTGGTTTGTAAGGGCTCGGGCTAATCTACCTTTGACCGGGTAATTTAGCACCGAGTGAGGGCTACGGCTCGAGGTTAATGGAGGGATATAAGGATGGTTGTTTGTGTGTATTGTAATATTTTTTTATATTTGTTGGAATTATATTATTTTTAATTCTCACTTAGTAAGCACACACTTAACTGTTTGTATATACAATCATAAATTGGCTTTGGTTACTGGGACTTTTGAGTCTCATTATGTGGTTAACAATTTTCAGGAGAAGAGCCACGAGTGACACGTGGAGGAGTCCCAGAGGCTTAGTGATATAGATCCACTGTCTCTTTTGGGTATTTAATTTATGATTTATAATGTGTTATATTGCCAATATTAGGGCTTTTTGTTTATTGTCAATTATATGAATATATAAATGTAATCATACTTTTCAAACTATTTCTATTTTTGGTACAATTTGGATGATTATAATTTTAATATTTGGTTTACTTTGGATTGGTTAAAATAGCATGATTATAAGGCCAAATAACTGGTTTATGTTGAAAAATGACTAAATTGCTTATTTTACTTGTTAAGAGTATAAGGATGGACAAATGTGATTTAGTTTACTTGTTGAGAGTATAAGGATGGACAAATGTGATTTAGCCTAATGGCATGTGGGAGGTAAAAATTTATCTGAAATGTTATAGTGTATGAGTTGAAGCCAATTATAAAATATTTTATATTGAAATTACTGATATAAAAATGTGATGGGTGGCTGTAACCCAACTATGGTTGAGTTAAATTATAAAAAAAAAAAAATTTTTGGTGTGTTACAATCCTCTTATGCTTAAACTTCTTTTCAAATAGAATCCCAAGTTTTTAATATTAAATAAATAAATAATATTTAATATAAGATTAAATCAAAGTTATAAAGTGTATAAAAGCACGAGATACCACTCGTTTGAAAAACATTACTAAAAAGGGGCAAAAAATATCATTTTATAAAATCATGGGTCATTTGCCATGGCCAATGATGTATTCACTACAGTAGATCATACTAAGATTAATTTGATTTATATAATAGTCAACGTTTTACATATAAATAGTGGGGGTAATTTGCTTTGAATTTCAAAGCTCAGGGTCCAGAATGTTACTGGCGCAATAGTTTAAGATCTACTGTGCTAATTAAAAAAATGACACATCAGCATTTTGACTGAGCCCTATTGAGTGAACAATAGTGGCGTTAGTTAGTAATAAATGATGGGTTTTAATTTGCTATAAATTTAAAAGTTTAGGATCTATTTTGCACATTTTAAGAGTTTAAAATTTATAGTGTTTTTAGAGTTTAAGATTCAGAATACTTTTCGCACAATACTTTAAGGTCTATTTTACTTATTAATCCTCATAATTATATACCGATGTCTATTAACAAAAATTGAGAAATCAGCCGGATATAGATTGAGTTTTGTACTCCAATATTAAAAAAAATTTACTTTAGTTCTAAATTTATAATATACAAAAAATATTTTTAAAGGTATTGTATTTAAGTAAATAATTTTTTATAGTGTTGAAGTCAATTTGCGTTTAATTCCACACACAAAATTAACGATTTGTGCAATTCTGGGCATTTATTATTCTTCAAATTTGAATTTGTTATCAACAAATCTTTCTAGGTTTACTTTTAAAATGTTTTGGTCACATTTGTAATTATATGATAAAGAGAGAATGATATTTTGGTCACATTTGTAAGTTACACCATTAATTTTTTTTATTACAAGTTTTTCTGTTTGTCCCATTAAAAATTGGTAAGAGAAATATATATTGTTGAACTACATAGAAAAATAATAATAAAGTTAAAAATTTATTAAATTTTTAAATAAAATTAATAAATTTTATTTTTTTTAATTTAATGAACCATGTCAAAAGTTACTTATAAACAGAACTGATGGAAGTACAACAAAATTCAATCCTCTTCCATCAAATTTCTTCAATCAAAAGTCCTTTTTTTAAGTAAAGTTACACTTAACATAATACATGTCATGATCTAATTAGATTCATGGAGTCATTAACTGATATTAATTTGACCTTAATTATTAATTAAGGACCTCATTTTGTGCAGCTCCTATTTAATTAATTAATTTTAAGAAATATAAACTTGACGATTTAAAGATAAAAAGATAATAAATTTAGTCAAATTAACAATGTCATAAAACCCGAAAATGGGGCGAAAACAGATAAAATAGTGCGTGCATGCGCCCACCTTTTTCCTTGGTTTCTAGCATATAAAGAGCAAACCACTTTTTGTAGAAGCCAGTTTGCTGAAACTAAAGTTTGGTCTATGTTGGATAAGGCAATTTGGGTTTTTCTTTTTTCTTTACGCTGTTCAAACTGTGTTCATGGCTTCATCTTTTTTAACAAAAGCACTTGTATAAATCCGATCCAACAAGTTTTCTTCTTCTTCGTTAATGTCTTCTTTACCCCCTTACTGCTACCATTTCTTGGAACAGCCTCAGAGTCATAAAAAATGGCCAGTGGGGGTGAGAAAATGTCCACAAAGCTGAGGACAAAGCTAGCCGTTGCAGTAAAGAGCATTCAATGGAGCTATGGCATTTTCTGGGCACCTTCCACTACCAAGCAAGGGTAGAGAGAAAGCCCATCTTGGTTTTTTGTGTTTTCTTCGCTAACATTTCAGATTGTTATGCTTCAATTTTGTTTTTCTTTCGGTTAGAATTACTTCTGAATCAGGGTTTTTGCAGGTTCTTGGTAATGAGAATCTGGAATATAAACAAACCGTTATCTGTCTTCATTTCCATACATGTAGAGCTCAGATTCTGAATTTTTAGGGAAGTTTGGTGATTGTAAATCCGAGGAAGGAAGCAGAGTTATAGTAAAGTAGTACGGATAGTTGTGAATTTTGAGCAGTAGCCCAGAAAAGGAACTAATATTAAATATTGCAAATTTGTTCTTTCTTTTGTCAGGAAAGTGAAAAAGTGGTCGCATTTTCATTACATGAAAAGAAAAAAGTTTATAATGAGATCGCGGTCTTATGTAATTATAGCACAATAATTCTTTTCTTGAGCTTCTTTTTTTCTTTTCGTGATGACTACCTCTTAGTTTAGCTCAACTAATGCGAATAATGTGATCAACAGATCATTGGAATGGAATGAAGCGTACTACAATGGAGAGATCAAGACAAGGAAGACAGTCCAAACTATGACGGAACAAAAGGCTGACAAAATAGGGTTTCAGAGAAGTGAGCAGCTAAGAGAACTCTATCAGTTTCTTCTTGTCAGCGATACCGATTTGCAGGCTAAAAGGCCTTCTGCTGCATTATCTCCAGAGGATCTCACAGACTTGGAGTGGTACTACTTGGTTTGCATGTCATTCATGTTCAGCCACAGCCAAAGGTGGTCTTCTCTCATTTAGTTTTGTGTCACTTTCTTAGTCTACGTTGTCATTATAAATTTATAATGTTTCTATTTAGTCTTATATAATTGTAGCCCATGTTGTCATTTTGTTTCATCATGCTAGATTCTTGTGTCATTGTCATAGTTTGCCTGGAAGAGCACTAGAAAATGGTGAAACTATCTGGTTATGCAATGCTCAATATGCGGACTGCAAAGTTTTCTCCCGCTCTTTGCTAGCAAAGGTTCTTTATTTCTTTCTTTCTTTCTTTCAATGACTGATTTCTGAATTAATCTTAGGACAATGCTTTCGTTGAACTCTCTGAAAAAAACATGACAAGTGAGTTCATTTACAGCTCACTATCATATGACTGACCTTTTTAAGGTTCTTCATATGTTGTGTTTTTATTGGAGAATCTGATTCTAGACACCAAAATGTTTTTAGTTCATCTTTTTTCTTAGCTATAACTGATGTCATAGCTAGCTAATTCTGTTTAGAGAAAACTGACTTTCTGCATCTCTGTCCATTTTTTGACTGAACGTGGGAACCATCTGCTGTGTGTAGAGTGCATCAATTCAGGTATAGAAATTTCTACTTAGCTATTGAAATGGTCCTTGTTTTTGTGAGTGGTGGTACAGTAAAAAGTTACTAGGTATGGGGTATAGTTTTTATTTGAAGGAGTCAATGATGAACTGCCGGGTGAGACAAATTTCAATTTGCTAAGCTTTTATGTAAGAACCTTATAGCTCACATAGAAGGGATAACATGAAAGCTGTTTTCTTCTTTTACATGGACTGAGAAATAAATAAGATTCTTGCAGCCATCTGCATACATCCTTCATCATCATATTAAACTGTTGAATTCAAACATGTCAAACTTCAAAACTTCAAGATATGAAGATCTTTAGATTCGATAGGATAAAAAAAATGCTTATTGGTTCACCATTTACTAATGTTGATATTGATAGATTAATATTTATATTAATCTCCATGCTGCCTTTTAAATCCTCTCAATTTCAGACTGTGGTGTGTTTTCCCTACCGTGGAGGCGTTGTTGAGATAGGCACAACTGAGCTAGTAAGTTTTCCATCGTCCAGTGCCCTTTTGGAGAAACTTCCTTTTTCATTTTAAAAAATCCATGAAGATATGCAGAAGATAAGTAGTCAGTGCTGAAACTTTATGCTATTTTCCTTTGTTGTTTGTAGGTCCCAGAGGACCCTAATCTCATCCAACATGTCAAAACTTGCTTCTTAGAATTCTCAAAACCTATCTGCTCTGAAAATCCTTCCTTTGCACCTAACAAAGCAGATGAAGATAAAGATCCAACATGCACCAAGATTGATGCTTGGGCATTGAATGATACTCTGACTTTGGAAGACCTTAGTTCGCCTGCCAAGGAACTAAAAGAAGATAACTATGAAGAGGTTGACATGGATTCTTCTGAAGAATGTTGCAATGGTTGTGAACATCACTGCCAGGTGGAAGACTCTATGTTCGAGTGCATCAGTGGTGCCCAAGATTCCTTGAGTTCTGGAGATTGTATATCTGAAGCGCTTGAGAAGCAAGCCAAGGAAGCTACAAATGTAGATCGAGGCCAATTGAAATTAACAGGACTTCATGACTGCAATCACTCAAAACTGAGTTCCTTGGATATTGGAACCGTTGAAGACTTGCACTACACAAGAACTCTCAGTTCCCTCTTGGGAAACTCTTTGATGTTTAAAGGGCATTCACATGCTAGCAACTCAAATTGTAGGTCGAGTTTTATACCATGGAAGAATGGCAGAGTTGTTGAGAGGTTGAGGCAAAAGTTAGACCAAAGCATGTTAAAGAAGATTTTGTTCACTGTCCCTCAGATGCAAAACAGATGCGTCTCTTCCAAGTCACCAAAACAGCATGATAGAACAGAATTTCACAGAAAATTGGACAGTGATGATCATTGTGTGGGGAAGGCTTTATCTGATGAAAGAAGAGAAAGCGAAAACTATCAGGTTCTCAAGTCCATGGTCCCTTCTAAAGATAAGGTATATACAAGTCATCTTGGAAGAATCATGTTACCAGTCACCATATGATTTGAGGGAAATTTTTTTGTTTGTACCATTGGATGAACTTTGATGTTTAAGTCAGAACACCCTTAAAAATGGTTTCGATGTTAACAGCTATAGGCTTAGTTTTCTGAGTTACAGAAGTGCTTAAGAATATGAAAGTTTATGGGTAGAGATCTCAACACCATTAAAAAAAAAAAAACTTGTTTTTGCCCTATATTTGGACAGGCTTAGTTTTTATTTCTCTTGAACCATTTTCTCATGGATGTTGGATGATGAACTCGCAAATCATATGCAGGTGGACAACATTTCAATCCTCAATGACACGATCAAATACATGAAAGAGCTTGAGGCAAAAGTGGAAGAACTAGAATCTTGCATGGATATTGCAGATTCTGAAACCAGAATGAGAAACTCAGAAGTTATGGAGCAGACATCAGATAACTGTGACATCAGAAAGATTTTCAAAGCAAAGAAACCTCAGAAGAACAAGAGGAAAGCTTGTGACATTGATGAATACTGCGCAGACTTGAACAGTATAGTGATTAAAGAAGGCAAATCATGGGATGTAAAAGTGGACATGAAGGAGCAGGAGGTTGTGATTGAGATGAAATGTCCTTATAGGGAATTCATATTGCTTGAAATCATGGATGCTATAAGCAACGTGCATTTAGAAGTTCACACAGTTCAATCTTCAACAGTTGATGGATTCCTCATATTGACACTTAAATCTAAGGTTTGTGCCATCCTTATTGGTATGAAGAATGTGGACTGATTTCACATGACACAGTGCGCAAAATCATTTTAAATATGACAGAGACAGAGTTCGATGTGGAATCACATTATTCACGGCTTACAAACAGTTTATCTTCTTACACACATACACAGGTTTCCTTTTTCACTATTATGGTCCTAATATGGAGTAAAATGCTATTTAACAGAATGAGTTTACTCTCTATGTTACGTGCATAAAATTTTTAGTGTTCCTTTAAGATCTTTCTTCTGTTATATTTTTATGGGAGAACCAAATAGTAAACAATATTCAAATTTTATACTCAATGTAGTAAAGTTTGATATCTTCACCGCTTTATTTCAGTTTCGAGGAGCAGCAATTGCGCCAACGAGGATGATCTATGAAGCACTATGGAAAGTTTGTGACAAAACTTGAGTTTTCTGTTCGGATTTCTTGGCATTGAACATTTGAGATTATGTAACTTCTGGCAAATTGAATGAACCTTAATTTCAGCTACACTGTTTCTAACATCTCAATCAGTTTTGCAATCTGATATGCATGAGAATGATTTGTAATTTTCTACATGAAGTGTTCATTGCAGGATGAAGGCCAGGATATTGCTTGAAAAAGATTCTGTAGCATTTGTATATATACTAGGAACTGATGAGGTAGATTTATATATATGATCTAGCAAACATGTTAAACATTTGGTTTATTAATAAATTAGTAATTATTTATTAGATCCTTTTACGTGTGAAATTGCTCCCTTACTGGCAATTACTTTGCAAAGTTTTCAATTCATCGTCATTTCATATGTATTATAAGAAGTCTAATTAGGCTGAAGTCATTACAGAAACGCTAACTTTGACATCACTTGATCCCAACTCTAATACCATCATATAAAATGGCTTCAATATCACTTGATAGGACATGGGAAGCATCTAGAAATGGGAGAGATCCAAGAAACTTATAAGATGATGCATATAAGTAGGTTCTATATTACTTCTTAACCAAAAATATTAAAACAATAAGTTTATCGCCAATGTTATTGATAGGAGCAGATGAAGTATGATTTGTAATTTTGCAATACCTTTGAAATATGATTTACGGGGATCAACCCGCATGTAGAAAAACATCAAGCATTTGGATTTTAAATAAAGTAATTCTTATTTTGTTTATCTCTTTTGGTTTGAATTTGTTCCCTAGCTTATTCCCTATGAGTATGCACTATGAAATTAGATTTTTTTTAAAGTATATACTTGCATATATATCATATCAGGAAAGTTACATAAATATGTAAAAATATACATTAGACTCAGTTTTTCTATAATATTTTTTATTCTATTCATTTTATCCCTAAGATAAAATTATAGGGATAAAATGATAACAAATAAGGGCCACAAATGTACAGTATGAACATTAATTAAAGGGATAATCACATGTAAAGACCTGTGAAGAATGTTATTTGCAGATAAGGACTAATAAAAAGTCATAATTTGAGAAAAAACAAGTTAATGTTCCTATTTTAATGATAATTTATTCTGTATTTATCATTGTTTGTGAATAATAATATTGAAAAGTATTTGAATGTGATTCTCTATTAAATAAAGGCCCAGCTAACAACCATATCTTTGTACCATTTTCTTTTCGTAAGATTATGCCAAGGGAACTTTTTTATTTTAAAATAGACAACTCCTTCCATGTTCCAACTTTTTTAAATAATAATGATAAAAGTAAAGCTAAACAAATAAAAAAAAGAAATATAAAAAATGAACAGTAGTGATTTGCCAGGGTTTAGAATTTATTAAAAATGGGTAAAAATGATCATATACAAAAAATCATGTATTTTAATAATGTAATAATTGGATGATAAAATATATATCACACACTGTATATTAGTTGAATAGTTGACTGTGAGATATTAAAAAAATGATAATATTTGATTCCATTGAGAAGAAAATGAAAGCATTCATACACAACAGTTGCAAGAGACCAACTGCCAAATAATGAATGAAACACATCAATAATCATGATTATGCCATCATGGCTTAACTAATGCTTCCAACAAACAAAAGTATATCAAACACATTAAGCTCTTGCACTCTGCTATGCATCATTCGTTCTTCGCTATAGACTTAGGTAAACATTAGAGTTAGAAATGTTTATAACTAGCTTGAGTTAAAATAAGAGTCTCAAGTCTTAACTATCCTAAATAAATCTTAAGATTTTACTTTAATGCTTGATGGAATAAATTTATAATTTGTTTAGTTCAATTTGATTTTATTTATTAATAAGTATAAAGGCGTACCATATATTATAAAAGGTTTTAAAAATATCATTTTATAACTATCATCAAAATTATTTAAATGAAGTCCAACCAACTCTCTGTTAATCCAGCTCATGTGCAAGCCTATACTGAGTAGACATTTGCAAAAGCAAACTAATACTCTCTATATTAAAAAATATATAATATTTTTTAAAGAGTTAGATATTTAAAAATATAAAATATTTTTAATCTTTTAAAGTGTAATTATTATTTTTTTAAAAAATAATCCTATTGATAAATTACTTTATATTTATTGTATGGTGTTTAATAAGGATAAATATAAAAATATAAAATTAATTTAAAAATAAATAACTATTTTATTAATGTTAAAATTTTATTAAAAATATTTTATATTTTTTAATGAAAAAAATATTATATACGCAGCTTGCGTGTGTATATATGTTCATTAAATTAAGGCTCGTTATTGCTATCAGAGAGCAGTTTTCCCCCCACGAATAACGGGGTGATAGAAGAATGCATAATTATTGTCTATTAATTTCTAAAGACAAATAAATAACAATAAAATTGAGAACACAATATCGTGCGCTTGCAGTCCACAGTTACAAATACAACTACAACCTGATTACCTTTCTCATCAATCACCTATATAAATCATTATTAGCATCTATTGCCTCTGGTATCGTAGGATATTTTAACCACTTTACCAACACACAAACATATATTTTTATCCGTATCACCCAAAAGAATGATAATTTTGAATTGATTTTTGATAATTTTTTATAGTCTCACTACATCAAAAATTGGTAGAACCAGCCAATTTGAGGATAGACACAAGTATGCCAATGTGTCTGATTGACAAATGTTTATGGCATGCTTACATGTCTAATTTATGATCGACTTAGTTTATCAAATCTTTCAATGGGTTTTCACGAAAATATACTTAAAAGCACAAGTCCAAAATGAAAGAACAACTAGAATTCAAAATATTCAAATCTTGCTATTTCAATCAATTATCATTTATTTGAGAAAATTCCAATTAAGACTAGAATCATCTATATCTTTTGAAGAAATAATAAAGAGAGAAAAAAAGGGTGCAATCCACTTAAGTGATTTGAACTAATCTCACGTTATCTTGCTCTTTTTCTCTCCTTTTTTACACTCACATCCATTTCATATATATATATATATATATATAGATAAAGCACATAATTAAAGATTTATTTATAATTGATTATATCTACCTTTTTTACAAACCAAACCCTAGCAGACACTTAGAGTTGAGCCTTAATCCCAGCAAAATCTGTAACAGTGAAACCTACCTTTTCAAACCTTCCCTTTTCATTATTCTCTCTGAATTTCAAATACTCCAAGCACAGAAATGGCCTGTACAACCTCTTGCATCCTTCTCCAACCACTTCATCTGGTGCCACCACCACCTTCTCATCCTCAAAGCACCAAAAGAAAGCCAGAGAAAACCTATTCACTGGCTGTTTCAGAACTACCCTATGCTCAGAAGACCTTAACTTCTCATTACTCCAAGCTTGAAGCATGTCCCCTATGTTAACCACAAGTGTACCTTCTGAAGGGTCTATGTCTACCCAATTTCCTTCCTTTGATCTCACTTGAAGCCCTCCTATGTCATCCTGGTATAATACAGTGATACAGCTCATGTCCGTGTGCTTCCCAAGCCCTTCAACTTCTTTTTCCATGGTTTCTGGGGCAGAGTAGTTGTTTATCCTGAGGTAACCATGGCAGTTCTTGAACTCTGGTTCATAGTATTTCTTCTCATATCCTTCTCCTAGACTCATCAGAACAAGCTTCAGGATTTTCTCCGACAATGCTGCCATCTTGTTTCCATATTCATGAAGTATCTCACTACGCAAAACATAGAGAGACAATCTTAAAGCTCAATCATATATTCACGGATAAAGAGGCAAGAAGATCAAAGGCTTCAAACAAATATATCGGACATGGCAAATAGTAGCAGGGTTGAGTGGAAAGAATTCCATTTCCCTCTAGCAAGATCTCTTTCTTAAGTAGAAAAATAATGCTCAGAGAGAGCTATTATAATTTTAGAACAGACAATAATCCAATCTGAAATGGTTGGTAGCAAAGCATCCCGGATAGTTTTTACTAAAACTATACTAGACATGACATGGTACGATTTGAAATATCCAAGTATACTGTGAGGACAAGTTTGGAAGCTAAGAATGAAAAAATCCCAGAACGAAAAAACAAATGGAAGGGAGAAACTAAAAGCTTACCTGAATTCATAGTTCTGTTTGCCAAGGAGGACATCTGCAGAACTCTTAGCAGAAACATAGAAGTTAGGCCCATTAACTCTGAGGCTCTCAAAGAAAGGAGAAGCAATGAAGTGAGGAGTGTAAGATTTTACGGGGGAGAAAGGGCCAAGTTTGAGCTTAGTATCAGAAGGGAGGTTGAAGAGAGATTGAGACAATGAGTGAAGCTGTCTGAATAGATCTTTGGAGATTCCATGGTTGATTATGTGAAAAAATCCCCAGTCCTTGCAGGCTTTCGAAAGGGAAGATAAAGAGGATGACTCTAATGGCTGAGAAATGTCTAATACGGGAAGATCAACAGAGAATCTGGGCTTAGACATTATGGTCTAGGACGTAGGAAAAGACATGGTGGGTATCTTTCCACCTATGTTTCGGGTTATTTAATGTACAGAGGGAGAAGGTTGGTCAGAAGCTTAGAGAGGAAGAAGGTCTGTTTTTATTTGTCGATCAAAGGGAAGAATTTACACCAATGATTTATAGCATACCACCAAAAACAAATTCCAAAGTGGCATGGCATGGTCCCTTCCCTTGTGTAGTGTGTGTTCAGTCTTAAAAATCAATTTAATTCAAAATGTCAAACTGTTCAAAACAATTTACATTATCATATATAGCACACCCTTTGCATGAAAATTCTTTAAACTTCAAGCATGGAGAAAATCTAATTTATTGTAATTAATATGTTCAAACAAGTGTTTGATTAAAAAAAAATTCTGATATAATGTGATATATTATTATTAACTCATCTTTAAAATATCCTGTGAAGACCTATAAATAATTTTCTTATTATTAGATTGAGCAATAAAATATTTTGCAAATCTTTCTGCTTAAATCATATTAGCTCAATTGTCCTGATTCGATCTAATCTTTATTGAGTCTTTCTAAGATAGCATGTTGGTCCACCCAATACAAATAATGTTTAACGAGTAATTAAAATGTCAATGAAAATTAATGATTTAGTCTGAATTGAGTGGCTGTGGTTGATCATTGCTCTATGGCCACGATAATGATGAGATGCTACCACTTTGAAAAGGCTATCCTGCAACAAGGGGCATGCAAATATACAAATTTTTGTCCCTAGAAAGTGCACTTGCTTTTTTCTCACTCTCTAATGCGCTGAAAGAAATTAAAGCTATGTACTCCAAACATTTTAATCAATACATACATAATAAACTTTATATTAAAACATTAATATTGCACAGAAAAAAAAATATTGTAAATAATGCACACACTAGCTAGGAAAAAAGTATCAAGGAAAAAAATTGACATAACTGAGGGGAGAAAATGATAAACAGAAATAGCAGGACTGGCGAAGAATAGCAGAGACATATGCAAGATGTTCCAGACAGATCCTTTTATTATTTTTTCTCTTTTTACCTGAATTGAATATATGTTCGTATTCATCATGGACAGGCTGGGAATGAAGCATATCAGCCACGAGAAGTTTGTAAATTCCGCTATTCATGGAGCTCACATTCTTCTTCAGAAAGTTTCGCTTTGACTAGCCGTTTATACTCGGTCAACACAAGCATCTGGAGGAGCTTGAGGATGAGTTTAAGTAATATATAAGCAATTGAGCGAGGAGAAGTACAACCTACATAGATGCTTTCTTCGACTGTATAGCATAGATGATTCAGATATGACTAGAGATAGAGTGTGTTCACAGAAACAGAAAGAACTACCAGCCATGGCCTCAGATAATTACTTAAAATTTGGACATTATTATAATAAAATTTTCTCATGAACCTATGCTATAATTCTTTAATATTACTTGAAAGGTATGCGATTCTAATTCCACGTTAAAGGAATGGAATTTTGATACAGAATTTACATGCATAATGGGTTTTTCAACCACACAAACTTACCTTCGATATGTGACTCTCCCAGAATATTTGTACTAATATTCGAGCCATCCATTAGGTCTGCCTTGTAATTGTGCAATTTAAGTGCAATGATATTAGAGGTGTATATATATATATATATATATATAGCTCAGAATCTAGTCAATTTAATTTGAGTCAATCGCATTGAATCGAATTAGATCGGATCAAAAATAAATCTTTGGGATCGAACTGAACCACTGGGCTAGTTCAATCAACATGATCTCTCTCTTTTTTTAAAAAAAATTTAAAAAAGAAAAATTTATGAGATTCGTATGAAAATTTTAGTTTTTAAAAATAAAAACTATAATTGTAGGGACTTTTATGAAATTTTTCAAGACAAATCATATAACTTTTACCGGAGAAAAGAAAATCATTCCAGATGAATTGAAAACCCAAGTTTTAAGATGGATTAAAACGGGTCAGATCATGAACTAATTCAAAGAGTTAATCCAGCTTTCGAGCACAACAATATGACCATCAATATTGCTATAGAGGGTAGAGGATATAGTTGCATTCTAATAATGGTAAGGTATGAAAAGAAATCCAAATCAAGTAATAAACATTCTGATGTAGTATTGAGGCTAAACATACAAAATTTTATGTTCTCATTCTCAGTTAATCATAAATCTTATAGAAAAAGGAGGGAAATTTCAATGCGAAATTCATTTGAATCTTACTTAAACTCACAAACTGAAATCCGGATACAATAAAAATGCAGAATGCAGAGGAATCTTTAATAAATCTATATATGCATGTGGCAACTACACCAATCAAAAATTGAATTATTAACGTCAAAGATTCACTGATAATCTCCAACATTCAATGGCTTCATAGTTCGTACATGTACATGTATCTAGAAAACCATATATCCCCAAGATTATTATATTGGTCAGCACACAGACTTGGTTTAAGGCTTTAGGCTCAGCCAGACTCAATCTCAAACAGTTAATCTGCACACAAATGATTAACTTGAAGACCTGTGCCTACTAATTAAGACCAGACACCAGTCAGACAAAATGATGTCCAAAACATTATAGGATTGACCTTAAGGGAGAAAGATTGCGTTCTAAATCACCAGGGAATCCAAGAAAGCAAGGGGCAGAATCTGAGCACTAGATTGCAGGGAAGCAAAAAGCTAGGATATAATAATTGAAAATACCCATAAAGGCGAAGAACATCGAATGCAAATTTGGTATGGAGATCACTTACGGGTTCGACGTGGACCGGTGATATTGGGCTTCGATCGTGTACTTCCAATCGCTCCATTTTCACCGCTTTCATGATCAGAATTCATTTGAATCGACCAAACCCCATTTAGGATTGTCTCACGTTATGGCGGCAAAGTGAAATGGGATAGTTTCCGATAAGGCCATAACACATAAAACAATATATTAACTGATAAAAGAAGCAGACATGACCAGTAACGATGAGAAGTGCAAATGATAACTGAACTAAGAACGATAGTTCACGAGAAAGCTATAGACATTTACAACATATACAAACCCAAGAAAAAGGAATCCTGCACAATATTGCACATTCTAAGATAATCCATATCAACTAGGATCACTCTCTTTTTCCTCGGAAGACAAGATTGCCCTTTTACTCTGATTTTCGTCTTTATCCATCAAAATTTTCAACTGGAAATATTTAGAATTTCTCCCTCTCCGGGCATGATAAGAAATTCTAGCAGCACCACCAGGCAGAACATTCCTCTTATCATAAATTTTTCATGGATTATATTCTCAACACATCTTAATCCAAAGGAGAAATGACAATTAAGAACTTTATAAAAATATTAATTAATAACAATTATCAGACTTCAAATTATTAAAATTTTAATAATAAATTATGTTCTTTAATTGTAATAAATTATCTTTTATTGATTAGTTTAACAGTGTTTGGATATCCTCTGACAATTGATTAAATGTACCAAAATTACAGTTTTGGTAAAATAATAATAATAATAATAACCAACTGGCTCTTTTTTTATATAATCGATTATTTTATATTAAACCACATTTTGGCCTAAGCAAGAAAGAAGGGCTTTGAGTAATCGGTTACATCCGTAAGTCGGTTGATCACTTCTATTTATATTCGCAAAAAAGTGAAGGCTCATTGCCACGATCTCTGTCTCATCTCTGCTACCACCACGTCTCCTCTGATCTACAACCTCCACCTCTGACTTTTCTTCTCCTTTGCGGTCCTCTTTATTACAATGTAATATAGCATTAAATTGAAATTATAAAAGACTCTTCTATTTTTGATACAATTTTCATAATTAATCATATATATGTTAAATATTAAACTAAAATATATAAAACCTTCTTAAATTTTAAGGCAGTTATATATAATTCATAACCTTTAAAATTTAAAATTAACCCTCTTAACCTTTAATTTTATTTTATAAAATCCCCTATTGTTAATCATGTTATTTTTTTATAAGGGTTAAAATGTCAATGAACTAAGAAATATTATTAAATAAAAATATTTTATTGTGTAATTATTTATAATAAATTTTTTATATTTTTTGAATAGATGAGACATTGATAACACAAAACATTATTGTAATTGTATAAATTTTTAAATATTTATATTTATATTAGTTTTATCCATGTTTTCTTTGTTATCAATGGTGCATGATTTTATTATTTTAAAAGATAAATTTTTATTTATTTTTTATGTTAGATTAATGTAATGTACATTACTAAAATTTATATATTTATAGCAAAAAAATTATAAGTAATTGACTTGTATTTTACAATCAATTCTCATAAACTCCCATATAACATTATAAATAATCTCAAGTATATTTATTTAATTTAATTTTTTAAATTATTTATTTATATATTGATAGCAAAAAATTGAGATTTATAATTGACTCTTTTAAATCCTCAATTTATCTTATAAATAATTTTAAATGCATTTAGTAAATTTTTTAATTAATTATTGAGATTTTTTAAATTGCAGGTAAGGACTATGGTTTCTAATTGTCATTTTTTCTAATCCAAACTAAAAAAAAATGATAAATAAAAAATGTATATGACAAAAGAAAAGTGAGAAAATTGAATTCTAAGACAATCTGTCGCAATTACATAGCTACGCTATAAGATCTGCGAAGGTCGATGGCGGACCAAGAGGCGAAGGAATAATTAGATTATGAAGATGACATCACCAATGGTGAAGAAAGGTGGAAGAAGCTCGAGGTCCAAGAATTTTGAAAAATCAAGAGGGGTATTTAGGTCAGCAAAATTAATTTCTCAAGAAAATGTCATTTTCCATGGGTCTGAAGTGAGAATCAGATTTCCACTCTCTTTCCTAAATTTTCCATTCTTAAAAAATTTTATATTAACCAATCAAAGAAATTTATTATTTCTTTTTCTAGAACATTTTTCCAGTGAACCAAATGAGGATTAAGATTTTTTTAACACTTGAAAATGAATCTTAGATTTAGACCAATATTTTTAAAATCAAATAAGATATTAAACTAAAAAAAGCAAGTGATTCACAGTTCCTATAACCTCAAACTGATATTGTAATAATAAATAAAAATAATATAAATATATATATATATAAAAAAAAATAAATATAATAAAAAATATATAGTATGCTAATAAAATGATATAACATAACTGTAAATTAATAATATTATAAATTATAATTTTATAACCTATCAAATATAGGTGAATTTTGGTTAAATTGTATACAAGTAGACTCAAAATATTTATATTTGCATATTTAATTGTTAACATCTTTATAAAAAATAATTTTAAATTTTATTTTATACATGTGAATTACTTAAAAATAAAGTTGGCTTTCAATTGGATCTAATTTTTAAATTTTTCTATTTTTAAGCTTTTTTTAATATTATGTTTAAAACCGTTTGATTTTTTAAAAACTACTCTAGTTCTTGGTTAAACTCTAATTTTTGACTCAATAGCGATTCAACTCAAATGCAATTTTACTCAATTATAAAAATGATTTTTGATCCAAATTGAGTTGTTAACGGCTTAGGTTGATGATCCAATTGTCCAGTTTTTAAATAATTAATTTAGATACTTAATCTAATTTTTGGTGAAAAAAAAGATACTAACCTATAAAATAGGTTAATGTCTTTTTAACTTGGACCCAAAAGGCTTTAAGTTGGAATTGTAACTTCAGCCTAAAAGGAATTGCAATTCTTATCCTGCCCAGCCTTTTCATTGAAGAAGTGAGAAGTTCATTAGGTAAAAATATAGAATTTTCATGAATATTTCTCTTAATTTAATTGTACTAAAAAGGATTCTCTATTAATCACACTGAATTAAATCTGATCTGTGCATGGGTATACATGGAGCCATCCCAAAAAATGAATCGAATTGTATTTTTGTCTATGTCTTATCCCGTCCTTCTTGTCTTGAAAATTGTCTCATCTTCTTTAAGATTGGAACAAGCTATGATGAGATTGAGACATTCTAATAAAGCATGCGAAATGTGAAGGAGATATTTATCAATATCACCCCTAATACTCCTCCAACCAAACTGAAAATAGTGTTGACTACATACTTTTTTCCTAATAGGCATGAATAATTGCGGCTGAAATCGACAAAAACGTCTCCATTTAAGCTTCTTTGTCCCAATTTATCAATCTTTTTCATGATTACGCTTCATATAAATGACCTACTCTCCTAATACCCACTAGTTAATTGTGGGCCTTGCATGTTTAACCTACTTGTCCATCAACTAAAAAAGTTAATTTTTACTTTTATCCAGATTTGCACGTTAAACTATTCAATGTAAGGAGTTGTTTTGTTTCAAGGAAGGGGTTTCAAAGCAGGGAAGGAAAAGATTTTAATATTATTTTATTTGATTCAGGAGAGAAAAAAAATAATTATATATAAATAACTTTATCCTTATATTATTAACATTATTTTTTTAATAAAATATAATTATGAATGTTTTTAACATATAATTATTATTGTTAAATATATTATTAAAAATACATAATTATTGAACTTGTTTAAAAATATGAAGAGTAACAATTAAAAGAAGGGCCATTTCGATCATTGTGCAACAAAATTATATTCCTCCCTTCCTAATCCCCTCAATTTTGAGGAAATGGGAGATTTTTTTAAATTTTTTTTATCTTTTCCTTCACTTTTTTAAACCAAACAAAGGAGGGTCCCCTTCCCTCTTCCTACCAAACAATTCCTAAGTCTTGACTCTCTCTCTCTCTCTCTCTCTCTCTCTCTCCTCTCTCTCTCTCTTCTCTCTCTCTCTCTCTCTCTCTCTCTCTCTCTCTCTCTCTCTCTCTCTCTCTCAAGTTTGCAAAGAGATCTAACTACCTTTTCTCGAGTTGCCTGGGCCTATCCATATTGCCTGCTTCATCGTTTTATCATAGGTTAGAAGCTCTCACCTTGTAGCTTTGAAATGCACAGTATGAATGAACGTCTTCACTTCACCGGCGACTGTAGACCAACTTCGTCTCAAATTCAACAGGAGTCAATAACGAACATCGAATGGAACGGGGTTTGTTTATTTTATTTCTCCATCTCTTGGTTTACAGGTGCCCTAAATCAATAACTTATTCCATCTGCTTTTGCATTTTGGGGTCTGTGCTTTGGAAATCAACACTTTCTTGACTTGTGCTTCCTTCCATTCATGCTTCATCTTCCTGTAATAAGTGATTTCAAGGCTAGTGGTGATTTTACATCTATTAAATCATTTATTTTTATATTTTTTGAGGTTGTTGAAGGGTTCCTTTTGATTTTAATGGGTTTTGTTTCATGCTTTTCAAGAATTTGATGTTAATGTAAAGGGGGCAACCTGAGTGTATTGCTACTATTCTTCCCTTATTTATTTTTATGCAATGTTGGTTTGGCTACGAGGAGACTTTAATGATTGAAGAAACATGTGAAATGGTTAATTGAAAAAAAAAAAACATAGAGTTGTGAGGGAACATACTTCCCCACATTGATGTGCCCGGTCCTTCCATTCTTAAGTATTTTTGTGCCTTTAATAAGGTTATTCAATACCTATGAAAATTATAAAGGTTCTGCTCTTTGTTTCTCTTTCATTTCTTTGTTACTTCTATGTTCATTTTCTTCCCGAGGATGCAAAAAGCATGAGAGAAGGTTCAATCTTGATGTGGGATGCTCAGCATTTTGTATTGATTACTCTCCCCCTCTTTTTTTCCTGTAAAAATTCAATGCAGGTTCCCTTTTAGTTGAATGTTTTAGATTTTAGTCCTTTTGAGTGGTTATTTTGATATTTTCTCATAAACTGTGTTTTTCATTGGTAATTATTTTTGGTTACTCTATCTCAAATTATGGTTTAAAACCACTGTATAAAATTCTTTTGCTTGAATGAATATAAAAGTAATGAAGAAATGGAAGTGAAACAAAAAACAACAGTGATTAATATAATAAAGTGAAGAAGCGTCTGTAGCAACACATGAATAGGAAATTGGGATTAATCAATGAAATCTCAATTTCCTCATGCCATCACTTGCATGCTTGGATTGTTATTGGGATGATGACTGCTTTTAGCCTCTCCTTTTCTCTCTCTTGAAAATTCTCCCTTCATTATTTCTTTCATCTCTAGCCCTCGCTTTAAAAATGAAGAAATACGTGGATGAGTGGTTGTATTTTATTGGCAAGAAATAAGTGGATGAGTGCTTAGATG